AAACCCTAATCCTAACCCTGACGCCTCACTTATGTTAAATATAAATATATTATACATTTCATGGACTGATTTGCCATTAAAAATCACGTTAGCCAAATCACATTGGAAAACAACCTAATAGTTGAAATTTGCTTTCCGAAAATCTTGTACAATAATAAAGTATAATAAAATATAAATATATTATACATTCCCTGGACTGATTTACCATTAAAAACACGTTAACCACATTAAAAAACAACCTATTAGTTAAATAAAAATTTGCTTTTCTATAACCTTGTACAATAATTCCGTTATTTATTAATTTTTTACTGATCTAAAAATTTTTCTAACTTAAAATTAAGTTTCCTCTTTCAATATTTCCTAGAACTGGATATGATTTAATTTGGAATAATCTATTCTTTTGCGTTGAAAATAAAAAGTTGAGAGTGTTAAGGCAATCATTGTTCGATAATTGGAAAAAAAACGTGCTGAGTGAAAAGGTTATTGTTCAAAATATGATCAAATATGTATTCATGAGAGTTTTCATTGTTTTCAATTGATTTGACTTCACTTTTGGACCATTTAATGTTTGGAAAGTTAAAGTCATAACTCATAACTACAATACCCTTGAAATTGCGTTTATCAACGTAGGATCTTGGAAAATATTTAATATTTTTGATTGATACAAAAGAGGGTTTCTCATACTAGCATTTTCTTAAACAATTAAAATTGGACCCTTATTACCTTTTTTTTTAACCGCAATCTTCTACCATTTTTTGCTTTAACATTGGCTCCAAGATTATTAAATAATTCTGCAATTTTTTCTTTACAATCTTCAACTTTTTCAAATTGTAAAGGTTTGTCTGATTCCATAAACATTTATTATATTTATTTTTTTCATTTTGTATAATTAGTTGCATAAATTAAGGTTTCTATACTTTCAATAAAGAAACAGAAATAAGGTTTATTACTTTAAGATAATTGCAAAAATAAAGTTCAATGGTTGTTTAGTAGGGGTAGGTATTTTTTACATTTTTTTCTTAAAATCAATTTGCCCTATTACTATTGGTGGAGAAATATTATAAATAGTATTTTAAAATTTTTTTTACCCGTAACTGATTTAAAAACCCTCTGCGCAAACTCGTTTTTTTGAAATGATAAAACTTTTCAAAATTCAATTGTTGCGACAAATTGAAATGTCTTGTTTTTAAAAAGAATGACTTTTTTAAACTAAAAATTAGTTAAAAAATAACAAAGTAACAAATTCATATAAGGCTGAGAATAGCTTACGAACAGCGCTTTGGCTAAAGTGTCACAGCCCCTCCGCCCCAAACTGTCATTAGGGCATTAAAATCTTTAGAAAAAGACTCCTAAACTTGAAAAAAAGGTCCCCAAATTTGTAGGCCCTGCAAATTGTCTAGCGTGGTTAGCCTCCATGCTCACAAAATGCACATAAAAATTTGGGGTAAAAAATTGGGTTTTTTTTAATTTATTTTGTCAGTAAAAAAAAAGAATACAATGCCGTGTAGTATAAATAAGATCTACATGACCGGGGTTAAAAGACGACAATACTTGCATTATCACTACACCCCGACGTGCTTTCATAAGCAAGCGTGTACAACCATTAAAAGTTAAATATACAATTACTTTGTGCCATTTAAAAAATTATATACAATTATTTACAAGTGTGTTAAGACTAGTTACTAATCTATAATCAAAAGAAAATAGATAAGCTAATAGGATAGTTTATGGAGTTAATAAGATAATTGTTAAAAATAAAGAAAAAATAAAAATAAAAAATTTTTTAAAAAGAATTTAATCCATTAACATAGTTAATAAGTTTTTTGTTTCAATTTTTTTTTGAATAGGTAAAGAGAAGAACAATCTTTCAGCTCGTCACTTAATAAAGAGTTCCATAATTTAGGACCTCTTATAGCAATAGAAAATTTTGTAGCCAAATAATGCATTTTAGGTTGCTCATAATTGTACATAGAAAATCTTGTAGGGTACATGTGATTAATTTTATTGAAAAGTGTACTAAATATTATAGGTGATATTTTATTATGAAGTTTGTACATAAAAATAAGAATTTGATAAAGGTTTAACTGAAAAACATTGAGTATGTGAAGATTATTAAATAGTTCTTTAGTATGTGTGAATCGACCTGCATTTGAAATAATTCTGACAACATGTTTTTGTTTACTAAGCAGTTTTTTAATTTTACTTATATTAGAGCTGCAGTTCTAAATTTTTAGTTATAAGTCTGAAAATTTTCGTCATAGAAGTAAATATAGTTCAAACACTAAACTGTTTTATTACAATAACAAACATAGGCAGATCAAAGTTTATTACGAACACTCAAGCCAATTACCAGTTAATGCAAATTTAAAGATGCTTATGTCTTTCTGCAAGAAAAACATGGCTTGGCCTAGTAGTCGACGATAAAATCGCACGCCTCTCATATTAATCCTTTTTTTGTCCGAGTTAAAAGTATATATTTCAAGAAATAGATAGCTGTTAAACTCCATTGTGCATTTGAAATAGGTCTCTCGATAAGACTTGTATCCTTTACATAACAAATTCAGCTCTGTATAATCATTCCGGCTATATTTTTTAACTTTTAATAACTGGCCCATTAGACTTGTATTTTTCAAATAAATCATCGTAGTTACTAATCAACTCATTAATGAACCAGTAAATAATATTAGGCGATGTTGATGAGGAATCAAACTTTGAGTTCATAAAAATGCTTAGGACAAGGATGATACACAAAACCTGGAATAATTTTTATCAAAAGCTTAATTACTTCATTTTTATAACCTTTATTTACATATTACAACGGAAATTCTATTTATTAAATTAAACTCCAAAATAATATTGTGTAACATGTTATAAATAGAAACAGGGTTGCTTTCTCTAATTTTTTGAAAGATATAACCGAAGATTCAGACTTGCTTGAAATGCAAGCGCTATAATAATGTTGTTTGTCTATGCTCTTACCATCGAAATGCAAGCACCACATTTCTTTCGAGGAGTTGATATAAAACCGAATCAAGCTTAATTCATGCACGAGTGTTGTAGATGCTTTTTGGACTGCGGATCTGCAAATCGATGTCTTACTAACTGCATTGAGTACAGCTTCAACAATCTTTGCCGTACAACTTAGCTACCAATCTACCGGTGGTCTAAGCAAATTTTAATGGGATTGTGTAATCGTCACTTGCATTGTTATCTTCTGAACTTTCACTACTAGAATTGTCAGTATCATTAAACAATTGACTATAATTTGTTTCAAGTTCTTTTCTTTTAGGTGGCAGGTCTCGTGGATGTGTTGTAACATGCTTTGTCAAAACATTTCACTGATCTTTGCACTCATTGGAAGATTTTTGAAGTTCATAAAAGAGCTAGTCTTCCAGATTTTTAAATTTAGCATTTTTAGGCAATAAGTCGAATAATTTATTTCATTTACAATACTTGTTTTCTTATTAGTACTCTGAGTTGATTTAATAACAAATTTATAATTTTGAATAGCAGACTTTACTTTGCACAGATTTCTTTGTAAAACATGGTATCGTCATTTTATTCCATCATTGACAAATTAAATTGAGATTTCTTTAATAACATCACTTGATCTAGGAATATTAGCCAATTCTAAAAGGAAATGATATTTTCCTAATATCTGCTTTGTCTTACATAATTTTGAAAAACCCATTAGTGGCTTGTTAATTAAATTTCCATATATACGATTTCTTGGCTTTGAAATATTGGAAGAGCGATCAACTTATCAAATTAAATTATTCTCTGATATTTTATACATCTAAAATACAGTTTAATATATTTAAACGTATGCAATGAATAAAAGTTAAACAATATGAGTTATTTAAGCATATTTTCAAACTTTTGATGGTTCTTTAAAATGAATTTACGCAGAGGGTATTTTGCGTTTATTTAGTTTATTTTTTATGTTTTCGTGAGTTTTAGGTATTACTTCTCCACCAATAGTTATAGGGCCGTCACTCGGGAAAAAAAATTCCCACCCTTATTGCTGAGTTTAAATAAGTTTAGAAAGGAGAAAAAAATAAAAAAACAAGACAAAACACTAAATAAAATTATACGCCTAGAGTATAATTCCTAAATTTACTAAAAGTAAATTAATAAAACCAGTTAGAAAACAAGTTCATAAACAAAATATTAATGAATAAATTATAATATAAGGTTTATTTTCTTCATTTTTTTTCAAAAAAATAAAAATAAATAAATAAACAAATTAAAACATGAATAAACGGCTAAAGCAAAAAAACGACTAAGGCAAAAAAAAACCGAAATGACTAAAGCAAAAACCCTGACAAGATTAAAAATAGTAGAACAGTTAAAAAAAGTATAGAAGGAATCCCAATTAAATATAAATAAAAGAAAAATTTCAAAAACAAAATATAATGAAATTAATAAGTTTTTAGTATTTTAAGTCTTACGCAGCAAAGCACGTCTTAACAAAAAGCAAAACACTTAATAGCAGTCTTAACAGTAAAACATGTCTTAACTTTTAAAGTCATTTAAAAATTAATCAGTTAATCAGTTAATTTTTAAATTATCTAATGTCGGTTATAAAAATATCCTCAAATCAATTTGAGAGAAAAAACTGGTGGTAAATGAAAAAAAAAAAAAAAAAAAAAAAAAAAAAAATAGACTCAATGAAAATATGTAATGTATAAAATATGAAAATTTATAAACATATTTCTATATGTTTATAAATTTTTAAACAATTTATAAACATAGAAATATGTTTATAAATCGTTTGAAAACAATTTATAAACATATTTCCATTTGAAATGGAAATATGTTTATAAATTGTTTTCAAATAATAAATTGTTTTCAAACAATTTATAAACATATTTCCATTTCAAATGATCAAACTAGTAGGTTCAAGTTTTTGTAGATGTAACAATGCGAGATGTATATTTATAAGGATTTAAGTTATTTCTCAAGTTCAAATGTCAAATATTTGAAAGTCAAATGACACCTACTGCTAGTAATGTCTAGATTTAACATATTAGTTTAAAAACTTAAATTACAAAACAAAAGTTAAAAATGAAAAAACTATATACACTGCTGTATAACATATTAAAGATTTAAAATGCAACGTTTTAAAATAATTTTCTAATTCTTTGAGGCTTTGAAACTCCTTTCCAGGATACTTGATCGACACCATTTTAATATTTGAACACCGAATCCAATTGTAAATATCGTTCAAGAAATCAACTTTGTCGTAAAATTGAAGAGTCAATGAGTCACAAACACGAAACCAAGGAAGGAAACTTTGAAAAACTTCCTTTGACATTAAATTGCTCTTGCTTACGAATATATACAACTTTTCAATCTTATTAGTTGGTTCCCATCCATCAATTTTAAATGCATCATCAATCAAAACGTGACGAACGTTCTTCGAACATTCAATGATAGTATTTTTTTCATCTTCTGTGAAACTACTTTTAAAAATATGTAACGATTCCAACTTTACTCCCGACTCAACTAAACACTTAAAAAGATATTTCTCACATAAAGTTTCATAAGAAGTTTGTCCTTCGATTATAGTAACCGAGAAAAATATTATTATTGTGATGGTTGACTCTTTTATGTCTGCATAAGTTGCTTGAGACTCATAAAAACATTTTTTGAATAATCCACGTGGCCCAACTTAATAAGAGTTTTATATAATTATTATTTTATAAAAAAAAAAAAAAAAAAAAAGAAATTATTTGATCTAATAGACCAAAATACTACTTTTAAAAACCATTATTATGTCACTGACTATTACAGCTAAGGTTCATGGTGACAATGTTGTTCATATTTTTCTTGGTTTAAATAATGATTTGAATATATCTTTGATCATAGACTTAATCATTGAAAAGTCACAAAACAGTTCAATGAGAACCATTCTGAAATGCGACTGGCTAACTCAGAAAGCCTAAAGTTTGCGTCTGGACAGGATCGATATAAAAAATAGAATTACTTTTAAAACATTTTTTAATCATAATGCGAGATTAATCTAAACAAAAAAAGATTTATCTAAGAAATTTTTTGTGAGAACTTTGAAGTTCATGACGATAACACTAGATGCTATCAATAAAATAGAGCAGATGTCAATACTTGTTAATGGATTATTGAATGTTTGTGAAAATAATATATTCATTTAAAAATTTATTTAATTTTAACATTTTTAAAATAAAAAGGATATGTACCAGGGCTAGAATTACCCCGGTAGAGCTGTTGTGCCTTGTGGATGCGAAGGCCCCGTCCCTAAAGTTTAAGGTAAACAGTAGCAAATAATTGTTGAGCTACCTTTTGATCAACATTGAGAATGTTTTATTTAATTTTAATGGGAGACAAAGAATTTTTTTTATTATATAAAAGAGTTTGTTTTCTATAATAACGTAAAAAAAAAAAAAAAGTTTTATATACTATTTATTTCTTACAATTAATTTATTATATTATATATAGGCGGAAAAAACCAATTCATATATCAAAACTAATTTAAAAAAATATCTATCTATTACTCAATATTTGAACCTCCACGTTTACATATATACTATTTATTTCTTACAATTAATTTATTATATTATATATAGGCGGAAAAAACCAATTCATATATCAAAACTAATTTAAAAAAATATCTATCTATTACTCAATATTTGAACCTCCACGTTTACACCTTTTAGTGCCAAAAATTCAATTCAATTCTTACATTTTCTTTTAAATTTGAGGATATGTTTAGCAGAGTCATTAATTTGTTGCAGAAATGTCTTGATTGCAGATTCTAATTGAAACTTTAATTGAAACGTGTGCTTTGTTATAATATTCAACCAAAATATTTGACATTAGTGTTGAAGAATTGATGAATGCTGTTCAGTCTATGATATTGTTAATGGTAATTGTGATGCTAACTCTTGTGCTGGGTGCTAACTCTTATGCTGTTTCCATTATTTTCGATTTTGATTGGTTAGATTTACTAAAGGGTAACAACCTGATTTTTTCGAACGCACTGACTGCGTGTGTTTCGGTGAAGCACTTGCCACTTTCATATTAAACTTTTAATAAAATTGGAAAATTAGATTTATCAAAATTTTTGCATTTCGATGATTCATAATGTGATTTTAAGACGCTTTTCCAGGTAAGTTTTACGTGACGGTATATTTTAAAGTCCAGTGGCTGCAAAATATGACAGGAATAAGCAGACCAATCGGACATTGTTTTCTTTATATATTTTAAAAACTTTTGATGAGTGCTGTGACCATCAAATACAAGAATGTATTCTCCAACAATTGCATTAACTTTTGGTGTAAATAGCCATTTCAACCACTTACTAAATGGCGATTTCTCCTTCCATTCTGAGTCTGATCTTCTATACATTTTGCAGGTCGGACCATTTTTGCACCACGATTGATATTAGTATCTTTTTTATTTATAAACGACAAAAAAAGATAAGTAGAAGTCTGATGAATCGATGGAGTTATTTTTAATATAATTACTTTTTTCATTATTTCTTGTAAGTTTGAGAGCGCGCTTTTAACCTTTTCGACATGAAACTAAAAATTTTCGATGGTCACCACTAAAACCACATTTATTGCAGTTCCAAATATGAAAAGTTTTCAAGTTATCAATTTTAGCTATACTGTATTGTTTCTTGTAATTCTTGAAATATTTTTCAATTATATTGGAAGTGCAAGATGACGCTCTGCTTGATCCAATGTTATCTATTCATCGTAATGCTACATCATGTTTATATCTCTCTTGCCATTTTTGAATAAATGCTCTTGTTTTATGTTTTTAAAATAGTGTTAAACAATAAAAATTATATCGGCTTGTGTCAAACCATAACCCCAATCGTTAAACATTGAATTAAATGAACCAATAACTTTTCAGTATTAACTGATAAAGCTGTTGGACTTCCACTTCTATGTTGACCTACGTTATTTTTTAAAATTTTATTTCTGTCAATCAAATATTTTATTTTTGTCAATCAGTTATTTATTTCTGTCAATCAATTTTGATTTTAGTACATTAACTTGAATGCACACTTTTTTAATGAAATTCCTTGCTCTCAATGATGTTTCAAAGCATTTTCAACATCTTCACTGTAGCTGTTGTTTGCCATTTTGTTGATAGTGATGGTTTTTTATTTTTTATAACAGTTTACAGGATATAAGTTTAGTAGTAGCATATTAAACAAGAGAAATGGCGTTCTTTTTACAGAAATAGAAGGGAATTTAAAGAGGAAGTTGTACAGATATTAATCACTGACAGAAGTATTTAAAAAGTAAACACTTATAACTTCAAGCCACAAAAAATTGGTTATTACTTATTAATCGACTTTAATAGAATGTTACCTTTTTTAGTTTTTATCAAATAACTTTTTTATTTTACAACATAATATAATAAAAGTATTGCCATTAGATTCAGAACAAAAAACTCTATAAAACCGTATTTTTAAAAAAAATTTAAAAATAGTTTATTTAAAATTTAGGAAGTTTCATATTAAAAAATATGGCTTTTTCAAATTAATTTGAAAAACTTTAACGCATCAAAAAACCCTTACAAAAATGTTATCAAGCGAAAATATTTTTTTACATATTCTGATAGATGTAGTCCTACTCTATATTGATCTGCTTTTACATTATGTTTCTTAAAACTTTTTGTTTAAATAAAATTTAAGTAAAAGTAACTGATTTAATAGTGACAGAAAATACACTAATTTACCCAATTCAACTTTAATAATTTTAAATTAAAGCATTGTCAAATGAGATGTTTCGATAATAATCCAATTATTACATTAATTTCAATGATATGATGATTTCACTTTTTAGAGAACGTCCATAAATTACGCAACGCTTAATTTCATTAATTACAAACAAAGAAGAAAAAAAGTTTTCCCTCGCAGAGCCTTAATTTAAATTTAAAAAAATGAAAATCGCCGCGAAAAAGGACCTAGGAACTCCAACTTAATGATTTAGCGTTATATTCTCTTAGGGAGAAGATTTAGCGTTACGTTCTCTTAGAGAGTCTTTAAACTTTAGCAAATAAAGTTAATTTACAAAGGGTTATTTTTAGCCATTTAAAATCGCAATTAATTTTTTTTTATCAGAATCATCATAAAAGTTTTTTATTTAAGAAATTTTTTTCTAAAATAACCTTACAAAGTTTATATTTTACAATAACTTTTTTTTTATTCGGATATGATCCAGTGTCTACTTTTATCATTTCGTCAGTATAAAAAAACAAATCAATTTTTTTTTGGTTTGCACGGGACATAATTTTAGTGGGCACACCTTTATTATGGCACAGCTTGCCCATGCCTATATCCGGGTGTGATTTTGACCTCTGTTTCTTTATCTTTTACTTATTATTTATTAATAAGTTTTCTTACAAACAAATTTAAATTTACAATTATAACAAACTTTTTTGTAAATTTAATATACAACTTTATTTTGTAACCAATATTTAATAAATAACACAGGTCAACAAATGTAAACTCATTGAGATAATTCGTTAATTCTGACCCTGTTATTGCGAAACCGAAATCAGAGTATTACTATCACGGCAAAAAAAAAAAAGTTAATATGATAATAATAAAAAAAAAATTTTGCTTTAGTTTATATACATATGCTGAACAAAAGGACAAAAGCAAACATTTATAGAGTTAACTGGGGTAAGAGTAAACGGTCTAGCTTCAAATTCAATTATTTTTTAAATAAAAATAATGCTATTTTGTTGTTAATTTTATAAAAAAAATTTTACATTTATAAATATATAAAAATTTTGAAAAAATATTTTGAAAAAAATCGATTTTTACGAAGAAAAAAAAACATTTACTTTTTAAATTAAATTTATATTAAAATTTATTAACAATTGATTAAGATATTAGGAAAATCAAGCTAAATTAAAAAAAAAAAAAAAAAAAAAATCTTATTAGAAGTTCTAATAAGATTAGTTTTTGTTAACTAATCTTATTAGAAATCTTATTAAAAATTTTTTTTTTAAGAGTTGTTTTATGGTCTGAGGCAGGTCTACTGCATTTTTTTAATGCAAAAAAAATCTTTACCAACTGTGTATTTTTTGGTTAAACACGATCGACAAACTTAAGACTTGCAACTAAAAGCTTCACATTAGTACCACATGTTGTTTTGAACTTGGCTTCTTCCCAAACTCTGCGACACTTTGATCTGACAAAACCAAGACAAGACATCTTTGTCTTGTCTTGGTATTTGGATGTCCTCCTACACATCAGTTTTTGTACAGATGTGATATTGATTTTTAAACTACAAATGGTGACAGAATGGTACCGGTAGCATTGGTACAGTTACCGACTGTGTAATTAATTTATTCGTTGTTATTAACCAGTTTTAAAGCGCGCTTAGCACCAAGCCTGCAAATTATATGCTGTTTCCTTTCGCCTAAAAGTTCAATTTCGTTAAAATTCCATAAATTTCACGAAGTATTATTAATATTTGCTTCGAGAAATTGTCTTTGAAGCGTATTGCAATAACTTGTTATTTTGTCCTAAATACAAGAAGCTCTGAGTGAGGAAATACCGCCTGCTAATACGACGCCAAATTTATGACTTCAATGTTTCGCGAAACCTTGATACTATTATCGCCCTAGTAAACTGTTTGATGGAAACAGATGAGTTCGTTTTGTAG